CGTAGGTGCGAAACGCTTAAAGCCGGCAGGGAATTCGACACAAAGAGTTTGCGCTTTGGCCTCTTCGGCACTTAGCGTGAATTTGCTGGCAACATTCTTGAAAATCAAGAAAGGAAAAAGAAAATAAACCCACGCAGCTAATTGCCATGTAAAGGTCAGCACTTGTCTTATTCTTGCCAAAGTTCAAAAGTTCGCCTTGGCTCAGCTCGGGCTCGGGCTCGGGCTCGGGCTCGGGCTCGAGCTCAGCATTGCCAAGGACCTGAGCTAAATGATATGCAAAATTATTTTGCAGCGGTAGCCACAAGATGGAATAATAAATTGATTGCTAAACTCACTTTCCCTGAATGCCCAAATCGTAAATATCCTGGCATGGGCAACTGAATTCCATGAAACCGCTTAACAACTCGGAGAGAGTTGGGGCAGTATATAGATGGTCTGGGAAGTATATTTCGAGTCTTATGGCATTGTTGTTATTTGCTTTGCATTTTATATAGATATATATCGTTATCGTTCTATGTACATTACATCCTTATATATCCTTTTGTTTACCCGGCGATGGCGCTAAATGCTGTCAAGCACAAAAGGATTTTTATTTTTGTCGGGCAGCGCCAGAGCCGGCACTTGGCTTGGAGCCATTGCATTTAGCTGAAAGCCATTCAATACACTTTATTAATGGCTTTATGCGATGCTTAACTCACTCGAGGCAAGGACGAAGTTCCACGCCTTGAAGCTGGAACTGCGCTCGCCTTTATCTGCTGCCTGCTGTCTGCTCTCTCACTCTCTCTCGCTCTCCATCTCCCTCTCTCCCTCCCTGCTGCGTCTGCTGCACTTGCACTTAATTTTATCTATTATGCTCCATTTTTGTCATTGTCTAACGAAAATGAAGATTCGATGCCATAAACGTGTGCTTCACTCTGTGTATGTCTGAACGTGAGCTGGGCTCTAGCCCTCAGCCCGCATGGCAGCAATAGAAGCCCAAAGTTGCCGTCAACTTGTCAGAGAGAGAGAGAGAGAGAGAGAGAGAGAGAGAGAGAGAGAGAGAGAGAGAGAGGGAGGGAGACAAACTATTGTGGTACTCGGCATCCTGCCAATGCTCGTAGTAGCCTCGCTCGCAGCTCTGCTGCCCGGGCAGCAGGTGTGTGTCCTGAAAACTTTACGCCATGTCGATGTGGCTGCTGCTCCTGCTGCTACTGGTGCTGCTGTTGTTGTTGGTGTGCTTCTGGCGGCAGCTGGGCACTTGGTTTGAAAATGTGATAAAATGATTATAAAATAATTTTCGCAAACAAAAGAACATGCATCCGGGAGCTCACACGTAGAGACTGACCAGATCCCTTGCCCCTCGCCCCACACTCGCTCAGCTGCTGCACTTGATACGTGCGACAATTCTGGATTCTGGAAAACTTTTACAAAGCGCCGGCCACTGCGCTGCTCTGTACATATGTAGCTCTCTAATTGGATAGATTAAATATATGTATATATGTATATGTGTGTGTAGTCGTGTTCATGTGTAGCAGCAGCACTTTAATTGCCACTTTTGACTAATTTCGGCATCTGGCCGTGGCCCACAGCTGCTTTGGGTATCTCGTCATAAATTCCCCACTCGACGCCCTGGCACATTTTCATGCGTGGCACATCTCGTATGCATTAATTATTTATCAAAATGCGGCGTCATAAAATAAGCGAAAATTACTTTCTGCACTTGGATTCCGAAGAAGCAGCACCATATCTTATCTCTCTCACTGTGTTTGGCCATAAACCTAAGCATGGCTTGGCATTTCCTAGGAAAAGCCAACAATGAATACCGTAGTAGACATATGGATATCATATTGATATTGATTAGATATTGAAAGCTCTTAAAGACAATAGGCAATAGTCAATTACTTGAATCTTAGACTCTATAAAATGCAAAGTCTTTGTCGTAAATGAATGCCATTGTGAATCTGGCTAACAATAAGACAAACATTAAGAACATTCTGGCTGGGCCACACACAATGAACTAATAGCCCCGCCCACCTGGAGTATGGCCAAGAGTCGATGCAAAGGCAAAATCAAAAGCCGCTTGCAGGGGCCAATGCAATAAACAAGTCTTAAGGTCCTAGATGCTGGACCAGTTTTCTAAGCCCAACACACTCGCACACACACACACACACACACTCGCAGCAGAGCTTCAATTTGTTTGAATGCGTAGCAGCAATTTGTGGCAAATTGCTGTCAGACGGATACACAAAGTGCAGCTCGTTTCTGTGAGAGGGGAGGGAGGGGCTTGAGCAGGAGGCGCATATCGAATGGCTCGCCAGCTGATGCGGCTCACATTTGCAGCTTTATTTATCGCAACGAAAACATCTTGTAAATTTTCCACGTTATTTTCCGCCTGAAGTCTATGCGCGCTTTGCCTCCATCTCGGCCACGGGAAAATTCAACAATTGATTCCATTTGGCTGGCATTCCACCTCCGCCCAGCGAGCCTTCGCGAGCGAGCACACGAAATTGATATGAAAATTCGTTTAACCGAAAGCCTTTTGAGCATGGCACAGAGCAGCGGCTTGCACCCAGCCACGCCCACGCCCCCAGGGGCTGACAGCCTTGAATAGCAGCAGGCCGACTAGCCGCGCTGCCGAGCACTGCGAGTGACCTCCTTCCCAATTCGAATTGCCATTCCCAACGCCTTCTGCCCCAGCCATTCCCGATTTCGTAGTCTCCATTTCATGCAGCGGCTCGTTGCGATCATTTGTTTGTGATAAATTGTGCCATGTCGCCTGGCACTCTTGACTTTTATTGCTGGCCATGGTCAGAGCGGCGTCCTTTTGCCCACTGCTTGTTTGTTTTCCGTTTCCAGCAAAAACTAGGCAAAGCCAGACCCAGACACAGACCGAAGGCACAGAGAACAAAAACTCGCATTTTATATTTGATATATCATTTTCTCAACGCCAATTTCTGGCGCCCGCCGTTATTGATGTATGTGTGTGTGTGTGTGGCAGTGGGCGTGCCACATGTCTTTCGGTTTGCAATTGGGCGCATGACGCATGGGACTTGTATCGACTCGACATGAGCTTGAGTCATGCTTGAGTCAAGAACAAAATGAAACTGTGAATAAATTCGAAAATTCCATCTCTAATTCTAGTTGGAAAATTTGTAATTTGAAAACGTAATTAAAATACCAATACCTTCATATGGGAGAGCAAGCAAAGCCAGCAAAAAGTTGTTAAATAAAATGTTATTTATTGCATCGATGATATCGGAGCACAAATGCTTAGCATTTATTTATGAAAATTACTTTGCTTATCGTACGATATGGGGGGACAGGTTCGTTAGCTCAGATGCTCAGCTTGCGGCTTATCGGAGAGTTAGATCTATATGGAACATCCGTGGACGGCTTGGTCTGCTCGTGGCCTTGTATGGAGAGCAACATCCATTAAGCGTAGCAAAACACATTTGAAGCAAAACAATAACAAAATACACCGCTTTCCACGCCCACACACACACACACACACACACACACGATTTCCATTTTCCCTTGTTCTGCCTCTGTGCATGTGTGTGTGTGTGTGTGTAAACAGCATTGACAATGGGCCGACCTGCGCACAGTCGAGAACTGTAAAATTATGCATGGGCGGGCATCCAGAACCAGTATCACTCGCCTTCTGTGGGGGGGGGGGGGCTTGCCAGGCAAAAAGCAAAAGCGAAACGGAGCGCAGGGGCCGAAACAAACCAAACAAATGTCAAATTGAGAGTGGGAGAGAGAGAGATAGAGAGAGAGAGAGAGAGAGAGAGAGGGAGAGAGAGATAGAGAGAGAGAGGGAGAGATCTGTGGCATACATTATGCACTTTTGCTTTTATTTCCCTCTTATTTCATTCCATTGAATCACAATAAATTGAATAAAACTGACGAAAATTTCCGGTTTGCATATTGTGTGTATGTAAATATAATAATCTGCAATACTTGCAGCGTGTCCCCAGTTGCTTCACTCGGTTTTACTTTTCGTATTGTTGGGTGGGGAATATTTTTCTGCTGTTGTGTTTTATTACTGAGAACTCAATTTAGAGTTGAATGCACTGCGGCCGAGTCGTTGGCTCGCCGAGTCTTGGCAATTTTTCACAAAAATTATCCAGCGACTGATTAAGAATGCCAACAGCAAAACTCGGAAAGTTTTCAATGAAACTGCGAACGAACGACGACGGCGGCTCAATCAATTTTATTACTATCTGTGGCACGTGCCGCGGCTCTTATCAATAGTTGCAGCTGCAACTTTGTGACTTGAACTTGGCTCAGAGTCTCGCTGCTGTCATGGTTTATCATTGCGGGCCATGAATCAGCATTTCTCTAGACTTTCCATGCTTGAATTATTGCTCGTATTCTTGTCACGGCTGTTGATCTCTCTCGATCTGTCTCACTCTCTGTCTCTCTCTCTCTCTCTCTCTCTTTCTTTCTTCTCTGTCTGTCGGCATGTGTGCCCTTTGTGGAACGTTCGAAAATCAGACACCTGGAGATCGTGACGAGTTATGGGATGTGACCGCAGGCTTTCTATTCGCATTGTCTTTGGCCCCAGGGCCGAAAGCTTTGGCCACTTAATTACTTCTTTTTTCTCTCTCTCTCTCTCTCTCTCTCGCTCTCTCTTCTTTTGAAGCTGCGCTTGATAAATTGAAAAAATATGGGAGCTCTGTTTGGCGCAGGTAAACGGATTTACCATAAATAAAGCCAAACACAAGCGCGCCATATAAATTTGATGTCGCTTGTTTTATTTCCCTCATAGCTGTCGACACTAAATAATTTGGCAGCAGCTGATGTGACGCGCATTTCGTATTAGTCGCGCTGAAAGTGAAAATCTTGATTGAAGATCAGATACTCTACAAATGTGCTGTGAATCGGCAAGCAGCTGGAGAGATCTAACCAAGACGAGCCAAGCCAAGCCAAGACAGATTATTTTGTACTGAACTCTGCTGACTGGCAATTGCAAATATTTGTTGACTTCAGCCCGAATGAATGGCCAGCTAATTGCACACAACAGTCCGTGTGCTGGCCAGCCATGCCCTGGGGTATCCTTTGCAATTCAATTGCTCAATCCACATGTGACTGAAATGCATTCCATTTCCCCTTTATTTGCAGCGATTCGTGTGCTGTTCATTTTTTTAGTTTTGCTAAATATTTGCATATCAAAAGCAAAGGCAAAAAGGAAATGTCCAACTGCTGTGGCAGCAGCACATTCCGATGTTGCATCGCAGCATTTATTGAGAGTCCAGTGCGGCACGGATTTCAGTATGCGAGTGGCAACGTTCTCGGTTCAGATGGCATATGCATATTTTATAAATTAGAAGAAAACATTGCAACAATGGGCGATAAACGAGCGGGCGAGTGCAAAAAGTGAAATTCATTTTGCATTTTGCATTTTGCTCATGTGCGTGTGTCATGTCCGTGTCGCAGTGCATCAATCGGCTGGGAAATGCGTTTTGCTCGTAAACAATTTCGGATGCATTCGCAAATAACAATAACTGTTGATAAGCCCAATAACAGTTACTAATTTTCACGAACACGCGCAGCAAAAACTCCTGTTGCCCGCCATTCGCAATCAAGCGTATTTTTGTTGCAAGTGCGTGGGGCATACTTTCAATTAGCTGCGAGGGGTGGGCGTGGGGGTGGGGGATGGCTGGAGGTAGCCTCCAATTTTCTGTGGAAAGCTGCGGGAAATTGTGGCACTAATTTATGCATGGCCCAAACAAACAGCAACAATGTTGCATGAGCGTCGCATGTTGCCGCAACTAATTAGACACTTGTCAGCCGCTGTTGTAATGTTGTAATAAATACCGTTACAATGTCATTACCGGCAATACTTGTTGGTATTCAGGTATTTGGTTTTTGTTTTTCTTTCGTTTGCTTTTTTCATTATTTTGGTTTTTTTTTTTTTTTTTTTTTTTTTTTTTTTTTCTTTTTTTTTTTTTTTTTTTTTTTTTTTTTTGTTTTCATTTCCATTTTGTTTGAGAAGTTCTTTCAACCGGTCCGTCTGGCCCGTCACTCGATGGCTTGTTAGCTTACTTGTCTCTCGGACAGTTGCCCCCCCGCCTCCGCCTCTGGGCCCGCTCCCCACCCCCGCTGCTCACGTACCGCTCTTGACTTTGCTTAAAACTTTGTTTTGCTTTACGGCTTAGAATTTTAATGAGCTTTCGTCTACTGCGCTTTTTGTCACTTCATTCTGTAATATCATCTTTTCCTTTTCATGCTACGCCTTACTCATTCTGCCTTCATTTTCTGTGCGGTCATTGCTTAGTTATAAGCACTAACTACTTGACACTTTTTTTGTTCGAGTGCATCGACTTAAAGTTGACATAAGACTGGCCCGTTTTTTATTGAAGCGTTCTGAGCTTTTCTGGGAAACAAGCGAAATTTTATGACATTTTTATCAAAATAAATAAGAACGTTACGGCAAACCTTATCTGTATGCGTATGTATCTGAGCTGATTATAAGCTAAGGGTTCCTCGATTTCAATCATTAATTACAGCAAATATGTTATCAACAAATATCTATTGAGCAGCGCCAATATTCAAATTAGTTGATTCAATTTACATTATTCATAGCTCCTCCGCTAGATTGAGTTTCTCATGTACTTGGTATCGTTCCACTAACCTTTGCCACCTTCTCTGTCTCTCTGACCCGCCAACATCCTCTGGCAGGCAAACAAGAGTGTCACACATGCATGTATGTGTGTGTGTGTCGGAAATTGTGACAGCGACAATGTCACGGTTCGCTGTAGAACATCTCAACTTGGTGTCTGAGACATTGAAGAACTTATCTAGGGGCAAATATTGCCCAACATCATTTACACACGCCCAGCAATTGTGCAAACAAAATGCAGCCGACAACCTTAGTCGACTCCACAAACAGCAACAACAACAACAACAACGTGTTTAATAAACATTCCAAGATGTCTGGATAATTAACGCTAGGCCATGTTTACAGAGCGGGCAGCCCTGAGAAATTTTCGGCGTAATTGAGTGGCTTATTTGAGCCGTCGATGAGCGAGTGTGCAGTGTGTAGTTGTTTTTGTTCTTAGCTGTTTGCCTAATGCATTGCGATATTTGTCCAGTATAGTTAAAGGAAACGCCAACAATCCTGTCTAACCGGTCTGTAAAAATAGAAGCGTTCATTACGCAAGAATGTGCCCTAAAACGATGCAGCCAAGTGCCTAAGAACAAAAAACAGGAAAAAAAGAGAAGCAAATATAAAAATAAAGAAAACCTGAAATCTGCATAATAGTAGAAAGATTAATTAACCCGACGCAAGACACACACAAGCAATAGCAGCAGCAGCAGCAGCAACAACAGCAGCAACCAGCAACCAGCAACAACAACATCATCGACAGCAACAACTATGCGACTATTTGCTGCAACAGCGCCGGCAGCGACACTGTCGCAGAGCTCCAGCGATGAGGCAGGCGAAATTATAGAGAACGCGCACATTGACGCTGCCCGAAAGCAGCGAGAGACGGCGCGAGGAGGGGGCAAGGGAGCTGAGGCAGCGGAGGCTGGCAGTCATGTTGGTGCCACGATCTATAGCAATCACAGCAAGTCAAGGTCATTGGAACGCTATGCTGGCGCACCGTCTCAGCAGCAGCAGCAGCAGCAGCGGCAGCAGCTGCAGCAGCCGCCCTATGCCACGCCCACGGGCAGCACGCGTCGTCGCTTGCTGTCGCCGTTTCGCTCGATGAAGCGGCGCAGTCGCAGCAGCAGCAGCAGCGGCGAATCACAGGCCTACAATCATCTGGCGGTGGTGGTGGCCAACGCAGCAGCGGCAGCAGCTGCGGCAGCAACAACATCGACAGCCAGTGGTCAGGCAAAGGCCAGCTCGCAGAGCGGCGACAGCGGCACCGGCGGCACGGAGCTGGAGCACGAGCTGGAACTGGATTTGGATCTGGATCACGATGAGGAAGAGCACGACGGCTGCAGTCAACTGAGTCTCAGCTACTCGCAGCTCAGCAGCAGCGGCTGCGACGAGGCAGATGCCGATGACGAGGCAGCAGCAACAGCAGCAGCAACAGCAGCAGCAACAACAGCAACAACAACAACAACATCAACAGCAGCAGCAGCAGCAGCAGCAGAGGCAGCGACAGCGACTGCAACGCAGGCGTCACGTTCGCTAGCTGTTGATGTTGCTCTGCAACATGTTGCAGACGAGCGGCGACGACGCAACATGCTGTCGCTGTACTCCTCCTCGTCGGAGGAGCAGCTCCACTGTCGCATCGGCGACATCACACTCATGGACGACACCTACTCGAACTGCGACCCGCAGAACGATGCGGAGCGAATGTTTCTACAAATTGTTGGCATGTTGCGCGACGAAAACGAGGTTTGTGTACTGGCTAAATGCCGCTCAGCAACATGTTGCAGCACTCGCAGTGTGCGCCACAGACAACTCTGCATATTCTATGAGCAGTTTAATAGGCTGCATTATTTATGCCATATACTTTTAATTAAGCGCATTCTCTGCTCTGGCCTAAGCCAAAGTGCATAACTCGACTGAGGCATAGTTAGAAGAGGCTGCAGCTGCATTCTGAGTTCAAGGAATTAATATTAATTAAATACTCCGTTTATGCATAAGCATTGTCTATTGAAACTATTTACATTTGCAAAGCCCTGCAGCGGCTGCCTTTGAAAGGCATTTTCAAATTAGCCTGCTCTAATTGGAGGCTAATTGGAAATGTAATTGCATTAAGGAATATTGATATGCTAATTGTAGAATATTTTTTGTTTATTTAATTTGTGATTTATATTTAGCTTGAATATCAGAAAACATTACGGCGAGGGTGGGCATAAAAGTTGTCAGTTTGATTAGGCATACTTGAATATCTAAGTCTATGTAGCTCTTCTTGGCTCTCATTGCCAGCTCCTGCTTAGGCTCTCAGCTATTTTCTGCAACCTCTTAAGTTCCTGCTGGCCAGTCGCCATTTCGCTGCGATGCCATAGAAAGTATGTGGACAACTTTTGCGGCTTGGCTGGCCCCAAGATGGGGTGGGAGTCGCTCGAGCACATTTTGAAGCCAGCTGAAAAGGCACTCGAAGCTCCGCCCGGGCTGGGGCGCCATGTTGGCTTTGCAGGGATTCCGGGCCCATTCTCACGCATCTTTGAGGCGGTTTTGCTTTGTTGCCATTGATTAAAACTGTAAAAAAGAAAAAAAGTTATGCGGGCTTCTCTAGGCAGGTGCATTGCCCTGCAATCGGGCGGCCTCGCCATATCGGGCTGCTCCGATATCAAACAGTTGCCAGTCTTTGTTGCCACTAATTAGTGCGACGCCAGGTGGGACAGGTGGGCGGGCGCCGAGCCATGTTGCATATTTATTGTAAACATCAAATTATTGATTGCCGCTGCGAGCAGCTTGCGGCACAGAGAGTCGAGCGACAGCGACGTCTCCCTGATTGCCTTTGTCTTTGTTGCTGTTGCTGTTGTTGCCCCCTTTTGGCTAATTAAACAGAAATGCAAAGCGTCCGCTTCAGCTGTGGTGGCTGCGCTTCTTTGTGGCAACAAATGCGCAATTAATTGCAGCTCCTGAACATGTTTACACTTAATTAGCCGAAGCACAAAACTCCGCAACACAAAAGAAGCAATTGAAAAATGCAGCCATGTTGCAGCAGAAAATATTCATAATTGAGCAGCGCCAAGGCGGAGCATGTTTTACAATGTGAGAAAGGAAGCCCACCCAGTCTTGATAAAATAAAGTAATGCATTTTCATGCATTTACACTCTGAAGGAAACACAATTATTTCCATAGACTCGAGCCTTTTCAAATTCCTATTAAAACATGAATTTGCAAACTTTGAATATGCAAATAACATCATATTAGATCTGGCTAAAATGTCTGGCAAAAGTTCAAATGGCCATGCTCACCTGTCGCTTATGTGCACCTTGCTGGCAGCAGGAGACTCGAGCGTCGAGACAGTTCAACACATGCAAAGTTGCCGCTGCATGCATTATAAAACTGAAACTTGCCTCGGGGCGCCAGCAGAAGCGGCAAAGTTTAAAATCATAAACACAAACTTTCGGAAAATCGAATTACAGTGAGAGAAAAAAGAGTTAGTTAGGCAAGTGAGCGAGCGAGCGAGCTAAAACTATAAACTATAACAAAATTAAATAATAGAGTAAATTGCGTGGCATTCTGCATGCTGCATGCATCATGACTGTGGCATAGTTGCGAGTTGAGGGTAAATGCATTTTGCTTGTTGCATGCATTTCGCATGCAGAATGGCAGCAATGAAAGTTTTTGCTGCCAGCTCCTGCTGCCCCCCGCCAAACGGTCTGCTTTGGCAGAGAGCCTGATGAAAATGTGCGAAATAAAACGTTGTCACTCGCTTGGCAGCAGTAACGGTAAAGGCGACACCTGCTGCCAGCATCCTCGCTTCCTGCAGTCTCTGCTCTTTGCCTTTTACTGCTAATGAAGAGCCGGCACGGAGGGGCAGAGGTAGAGGCAGCGGCATAAAAGCAGCGTAAATAAAGACTCTGATTAACTTATGCCCAAGTTAAACTGAAGGCTCGCTTCATTGGAGTCGCGCCACGTCGCATTACCGCATTATTGGCCCCAACAATGTGTACAATGGGGCGTATGCGTAATGCGCCAGCCATACTGAGAGATATCGGCTGATGAATCGAGCCAGCCGAGACAGCGCCAGCAAACAAACTGAGACAATGGCTGGGAAGAGTTCTCTTAAAATAAGAACAGCAATCAATAAAACAACGACAAAGCCGCATACAGACATTCATACTTATGTAAATAGTTTTCAGCTTGTGCAGCCCTCAATCTGTAGAGCTAATTATGATCAAAATTATTGTGATTTAATTAGTAAACTTGGAGTTGATTATCCAATTGGAAAGTTGAATGTTGAAGGAGTCTCAAGACATTCAAATAAATTATTATGCAGATTTGCCAATTATGTGTGATACTACTTCAGATGAGCTATAATCGAGCAGCTGTTTGAGCTATCGATTTCTCAATTTCAATTAGATATGCCATACAAACGCGAGTCGAATAACGGCTGCAGAATAAATGACAAAGTCTTAGAAAAATCACAGCTCAGCGCGAGTTTACCCGATGGCTCTTAAGTTAACATAAAAGGGGAGACTTAGTTTAGCTGCTTAGTTACAAATATTAGTATAAGAAGAGTTAGACTGCTTTAAAATGAAATCACAGCCAGACAGCATAAAATCTGATTCGAGCTATGTTTTATGCCAATTTCTCTTAATTTTGCGCAAGTAATTTAGGAATTTCAGCGCCAGCCTTAATGCTACAATTCAACTCATATATCATAATTTATTGCCACATAATTGATCTATTTATAACTGCTCTCATGGCCATATTATGTATCGATTGATTTCGCTAGCTAATTGGCTTATTTCTCAATTTGTTTCTTGCAGAAAATGCGCCAATTCCAAAAGGTCCTGGAGGACTTGACCTCCCGCGTTGCCTTGGCCGAGCAAACACAGCTCGCCTGGCAGACGCCGTCGTCCGTGGGCGAGGCTAATGAGCAGATGCAGCAGCTGCAGCGGCTGCGGGACAAGATGACCACGGCCAGCGCCCTGCTGGACGACTGCAACGAGCAGCAATCGTTCTTCACCGCCAATCAGGTGCTGGTGCCGACGCCGTGCCTGTCCAAGCTGGAGGATTTAAATACACGGTAAGTGTGCGCCGCCTCTCTGGACTGCCGCAGAGAAAGCGAAAGAGAAAGAGCTATCGCTGACGCGATTTTCCGGTTACAGCATGAAACTGCTGCAAATTGCGATGGACGAGCGTCAGAAGGTGTTGTGCCAGGCCGGTGCCAACAATGCGCACGAGAACGGGGACGATGGACGCACTACGTCAAACAGCGGCACCATTGGACCACTGCCCAATTTGGGCCAAAGTGTTAAGCCGCCCTGGGAGCGTGCCACGACTGCCGCCAACGTGCCTTACTACATCGAGTAAGTGTTGCCACCTCCCACCCCCTTCGCCTGCCGCTCGTAACGTAGCTGAACTCGTTGATTCGCCCACAGCCATGAACGCGAGACCACACACTGGGACCACCCGGAGATGATCGAACTGATGAAGGGACTGGCGGACCTCAACGAAATTCGCTTCTCAGCCTATCGCACAGCCATGAAACTCCGAGCTGTCCAAAAGCGATTAGGTAGGTGGCCCAAGGCAGAGAGCCTAGCTAACTTGGAAACATTCATTAAGTTGAATTAAACTGAAAGGACAGTTTCTTAATTTGGGTTTGATATTTTGGGATCTATATTTATACATATTTTATAAATTATTCCTAGGTTTCGTAATATACGCAGGTGGGAGAGAGAGATGGATGGGGAGTTAAAGAGAGAGAGAGAGAGAGAAATGCATGAAGAGTGTGCAAGAGAAAAAGAGAGAGAGATAGAGGGTGCGAGATGGAAAGTGAGAGTGAGAGAAAGAGATGGATGGAGAATGAGAGATAGTGATCTAGATAAAAAGGGGGAAACACAGTAAAAGTGAAAGTGAGATAGAGAGAGATAAATAGATGGATGGAGAGAGAGAGAGAGCGATGGATAAAGGGAGATGATAAAGAGAAAGAGAGAGAGAGAGAGCGAGAGAGATAAGGAAAGAGAAAATGAGAGGCAGAGAGACTAAGAGGGAGGGAGAGAAAATATGGTATATGTATGTAATCAGTTCATTGGTTGAGTAGTAGCATGTTAGAAATATTGATCAAAATATAAATATTACAAATATTTATATAAAATTTCTATCAATCTAATATTGGCAATCTCAGCGCTTGATCGCATCTCAATGGCCACTGCGTGCGAGTCGTTTGACCGGCACGGACTGCGGGCCCAGAACGACAAGCTTATCGACATACCGGATATGACGACGGTGCTGCATTCGCTCTACGTGACAATCGATAAAATTGATTTGACGCTAATGCTCGACCTGGCCATCAACTGGATACTGAACGTGTACGACTCGCAGCGCACCGGGCAAATTCGGGTGCTCAGCTTCAAGGTGGGCCTCGTGCTGCTCTGCAAGGGCCATCTCGAGGAGAAGTATCGATACCTGTTCCGCTTGGTCGCTGACACCGACCGGCGAGCAGATCAGCGGCGCCTGGGACTCCTTTTGCACGATTGCATACAGGTGAGTGTGGGGTGTGGGGAGAAGAAGAGAGAGAGAGAGAGAGAGAGAGAGAGAGAGAGATCGGAAAATGAAATAATTGCTCTGTCCGCGCTACCTAGGTTCCCCGTCAACTGGGCGAGGTGGCCGCCTTTGGAGGCTCTAATATCGAGCCCTCGGTGCGCTCGTGCCTGGAGCAGGCGGGCATATCACAGGAAGCCATCGATGGCAATCAGGAGATTTCGATCGAGCTGCAGCACTTCCTCGGCTGGCTGCAGCACGAGCCGCAGAGTCTGGTGTGGCTGCCCGTGCTGCATCGTCTGGCTGCCGCGGAGGCGGCCAAGCACCAGGCCAAGTGCAACATATGCAAAGAGTATCCGATAGTCGGCTTCCGGTATCGCTGCCTCAAGTGCTTCAACTTTGACATGTGCCAAAAGTGTTTCTTCTTCGGGCGGAATGCCAAGAACCACAAGCTCACCCATCCCATGCACGAGTACTGCACAACGGTGCGTATGCGCAATGAATTTGCTGAAAGAGAAAAACTAATTCGTTTCCATATCACTCTTTAGACCACATCCACCGAGGACGTGCGAGACTTTACGCGCGCCCTTAAAAACAAATTCAAGAGTCGCAAATACTTTAAGAAGCATCCACGCGTCGGCTATCTGCCCGTGCAGAGCGTCCTAGAGGGTAAGCAGAGGTAGCACCACGGTTGTCTTCCACCTCGACTAACTCCGATTTGTGTACTCTAGGTGATGCACTCGAGAGCCCGGCGCCCAGTCCACAGCACACCTCGCACCAGCTGCAGAACGACATGCACTCGCGCCTCGAGATGTATGCGTCGCGGCTGGCCCAGGTGGAGTACGGCGGAACTGGCTCCAACTCGACGCCCGACAGCGACGACGAGCATCAGCTGATCGCACAGTATTGCCAGGCGCTGCCCGCGACCAATGGCAGCGCGCCCAAGTCGCCGGTTCAGGTGATGGCCGCGATGGATGCGGAGCAGCGCGAGGAACTGGAGGCCATCATCCGCGACCTCGAGGAGGAGAACGCCAATCTGCAGGCCGAGTACCAGCAGCTGTGCACCAAGCAGCAGAGCGGCACGCCCGATGAATCCAACGGCATGCACCACTCCAGCAGCTCCAGCATGACGGGTCTGTCCAGCCAGGGCGAGCATGGCCAGGTAAGCTGGGGATTATGGATAGCAGAGGCGGGCCGAAATTCAACTTTCTCTCAATTCACCAGGACATGATGGCCGAGGCAAAGCTGTTGCGGCAGCACAAGGGCCGCCTAGAGGCGCGTATGCAGATACTCGAGGATCACAATCGCCAGCTGGAGGCGCAGCTGCAGCGACTTCGCCAGCTGCTCGACGAGCCCAACGGCGGCGGCAGCAGCGCCACCAGCAGCGGCCTGCCCAGTGCGCCCGGCTCAGCGCTCAATTCCAAGCCAAACACGCTGCAGACGCGCTCGGTAACCGCCTCCCAGCTGAACACCGACTCCCCGGCCAAGATGAACCAGCAGAACGGCCACTACGACCACACTTCAAGTGAGTACGGGCTGGCAGCCAGCATGGGAATAGATCTAGTATAGAGTTACGGGTGTTCCATACGATAGCTTATCGCCTTTAACAGCTTCAGCTAAAGTTTCGATTCCTCTGCATCTAATTGAATATTGACTAAGGGCTGACCAAGCAAGAGTGACCATATCTGATGAATGACATATGCCCAGTCGCCTTTGTTTGGTCACCCTGTATGTGCATGACATATTTCTGACTGTATCCTTTAACACACACACACGCACACACATACATATATATAGAGGGCATTATGCTGCCGGGTCTGAGCAACGAGCTGCAGCAGCAGCAGCTGGCCAATCTGGCCGCCAAGCACCATCAGCACCAACTGAGCGGCGCTCTGAACGCACTGCATCAGCAACAACAGCAGCAGCAACTTTCTTCGCAGAGGGGCGTCCTCACCGGCAACGGGGGCATCGACATGTCCGGCAGTGGAATGCAGATGTCCGGCTACTTGGGGGAGGACGGACGTCCCCCGCCTCCGCCGCACTCCAGCTTGCTGCAGCAGCATATGAATGGTGCGGAATTTGTCGGAATGATTTTTGATACTATTTTTTTTCGCTTTTCGTTGAGTTTTGTAGTTTTTTCTTTCTATATTTTCTCTTAAAGTGAAAAGTTTTAATGGATTTTTATTTCGCTGCTTGATTTGAGCTGTTATTGCCTTTGCTTTTCGATGTTGTTGTTTGTGCATTTCGTTTGTGTTTCATGCCCAAAGTGAATTTATTCTCAAGAACTAATCTGAACTTTCTCTTGCTTAATTCCCTATGCCATTGCCCACAATATACGATTCTAGATCTTGGCTAGAGCGTTTGGAATGTATGTCAAAGCGGTAATTCAAACATTTCTGTTGTGCACTCTTCAAATATATATGATGCTATACATATATATAGTCCTATCTAAGTCAACGATTACTTAAAGTATGCTTTCCTCTCTTCGGAAACAGAAGCAGCAGATAACTTGGTCACCGTCATCACCGAACAGGAAATCGAGCCCAACAACGAGGACTTGGAAGAGACGAGCAGCAGCACGGCTACAAATACAACGACGACGACGACCACGAATACGGAAAAGACCTGCGTGGACTTGAGGAAATAACTTTCGGTACTTACGAATGCAAGGAAATACTAAGAGGAAAGGCAACCAATAATAATCAGAAACCAACTTAAGCATACTTCACTGTAATGGCTAGCGTGCAAGCAAATTCTAAACAGTATACATATACCTACATATACATATATATATATATATCGGTATATTTACATATATCTATATATAAATCACTATAAATAATTACAAAATGCAACTTATACAAATAAATAAAAATATATATATGAATATAAAAGGGACGAAAGGAGCTGAGGAGCTGAAGCTGGAAAGCTGAAGGTTTTTCATTAGTTACGAAAATATATCAATACTAAGTGAACGATACATATTAAAAGCTGAAAATAATGCAGAAATATAACGTGTAGCTAAGAGTCTTATATAAAGAGAAATATTATAACCAATTGCGAGCACTTGCAAATCTGTTATAGAAGCACTTTTTTCGAAACAACGCAAAACAATATATGAGAGACCCCATTGCGAAAGGAGCTTTACTTTTTTTTATCTGTTCACTCTGAATCAAAGATACTTTTTATTTCAGTTTACTTTGTAATTTATTATATTCCATTAATGTGTATTTTGTATTATAATGTACGTGCTAACTGAAAGTGTGCTGCAATGTTTTTAATTAAATAAGTCATTATTGAACAATTTATGTTTGCATTTTGATTTCATTCCTCTTTATTATTTATCTCACACGCATTTTTAGCATATTTCATTTGAAACTCAATTACGATACGATGACTAAATGGACCACCTTTTCTAATAATCTATCTAATCTATCAGCCCATGAAGAATACCTACGATATTTACTAGCTAAATCAATATAATTCTACTAAAGATACTACTAGTCAAATTAAATCCATTATTATCTTATCTTATCTGTGCATACGGCAGATGAGACCGATACATACAACTAACTCAAAGCGCTTTAAATATAAAAACCAATCTTACATGTTTAGATGTCTAAAAACGGAATTCACATAATCACTATGCATAAATATATATCTATTTATATAAATATATACAGATATGTTATATGTATATCAGCAAGGATAGTACTCAATATAACGAAAGGAAAGATTAATCTCTTTGAATAACCATAACCAATACCATAACCATAAACAGTAGCATTTCAAATAGATCCTGAGGATATTTTAATCTGGATCAATATTCATGAGAACGAAACAAAATAAATCTACAAGAAAATCAAATTGGTGTTGAAAACCAACATATAAAATATCGACAATATAAACAACATAAATGAAACATTTTAAATCAAAGTCATTATAAACCTCTTGAAACAAATTTTAGAAATTCATTTTAATTTTGCATTCACTGAATAATTTACTAAAGTCAATTTAGTTTATGCAAACAATAAGAACTGACTATGGAAACCAATTGATATACATATGTATTGTTCAACTCTCAACTCACAATCAGCGTAGTAAAGCTACCCACTATGAATATTTTTTAGCCGAATCAATTACTAAAGTCCTACCAATAACCAATCAAACAGTTAAAACCCTCCGTTTCAAGTTGAAAACGAATGAACCAAAAGAGCTATAAGAGAATGCTTAAGAATCAGTGGATAAACATATGAAATTATAGCTTAGAGAACATATCTTTGAAATGCAACAACTTAAATGAAATACAATTAAAATTAGGCTAACCTAAACATATATTCAATACGAATTTAAATACTTGCATATTACTCAAACTAAAGATCAATCATAAAGAGAAATTCATATTCTATTCGAAATACTCGAATTAAAGCTCTGTCTAAGGCAGGCCACGATTTTAATTTGATATACGCAACAGTAAACGCTGCCAGCTTTGATAAAACTTTTCATTTATGAATGGCGAAAACTAAACGAAAATTAATGAATTAAGTGTAATACGAATAAGAAAGAGGTGAAGCAATTCAAGCATATCCCAAAATAGTCTTCAGTGCATCAAGTGGTTGTCTATGATAAATGTAAATATCTTGCCCTATAGCAGCCAAGGTATGAATTATACGATATTAAACTAGACACAAAGCCAAACAATCAACGAAAATTATACAAATTATACTGCGTGCTATATTAGCTCCATACTTGGTTATGTATGTACTTATTAGATATATTCGAAATATTTTAGTGTGCAACTCAATGTCTCGTATCCATAATACTTACATATGAAGCTTACTGATATCTAACTAATACTAAGTTCATTTAGCGAAATTTTGCATCAAGCCAGCCTACACACCCAGACCCATAGTTAAATGCTTTCCATTCCAGTAGCGATGCGACTTATTAATGATATCTGATTAATTGATGGAAATTTTCGGTCTTTCGTTTCGTTTGGCCACAGAGACGAGGGCTCCAAAATGATTTTAGTGGTAGCTTGTGTATGAGCACGGGCCAATTCAATTGTACCTATCTTTTGATACCGTTTACTACAAAACTAAGGACTATAATCTTATTAAATTGTATATCTCATTTGATGCAGCAGAGACCAATGCAACAAATCTATCTATATAATAAATGTATACATTAATATAATTTGTAACTTGACGCAGATGGAATCTTGTATGATGATCTTATACATTTCAATCTGCTCTACAAGTGGTAGAGACTATATATATATATACACGTCTATATGTATAGCATGCATATACATACTTACATAAATATACATACGCACACATATATGTGCAAATAATATCAAGAAATAATAATTCAACATTCATATACAAACACACACAGCATATACATATATTTATACATAATCAAATAATTATACTATATCATATGATACAAGCAAATTATAAAATTACAGAAGAGTTGATACAATAAATACAAAATAAAACACATTCACTGAGTTACCAAGGAGTGTTTTACTACTTGAATACAGTTAAGTGGAAGTATTAGGATAAGCGATTGCAGATTCGACTCTTCAATTTAGATCCAACACGAATGAAACAAATACTCCAAGTGCTCGTCGTATAAAATGTATTTTTATTTCAAGATCAATAACCTTAGCAGCAAACGTAAGCTTATACATGGAATACAACAACGCATGCCATCCTATATTCAGTTAAACTTATGAGATAAGCCCGCGTACAAAATATATGTATAAACGTATTTCCAACATCCAATGACGAACACAACAATGGATAGAGTGAATCTCTTTGGAGCAGAGATTGAGATGGAGTACAGAAAAGTATGGGGTAAGAGAACAAAAGTTTCTTAGATAAGTCGCAAGGCAAAGCACAGAGCAGAGAGAGAGATGAGGTGCCAGATCGCCTTCAAGGTGCCAAAGGCTTATCGAACTCAGTGGTGATAGTAGGCGTGAGGATCGCCGGCAGGGGCTGGGTAGTGGGCGTACGGCGAGTGGGCTAGAGCTGGATAGGCGGCTTGGAAGTGTGCGGTGGGCAGGTGAGCGGGAGCCACGGGTACGGGTGCAGGTGCAGGTGCGGGAGCAGGAGCCGGTGCTAGTGCTGGTGCTGGTGCTGGAGCGGGTCCCGGGCCAGCACGATGCAAGGCGGTCAAAGCAAAGGGATACGAGAGTAAAGGCAGCGAGGCCTTGGGCACTGGCGGCAAAGGTGGCGCAGGCGCAGGTCCAGGCAGCAGCGCATGTGGTGCGGGTGCGGGCGGTGCCAGTGGCTTGTAGGCCAGGGGCTCCTTACGCACCACCGCATTGAAGCCATGATGCGGATCAGCTGTGTAGTCAACGGTGCGCTTGGTGCCGTCGGGGTCCACAACCGAGTAGCTGCCCTTGACCACATCGCCGTGGCGTGTCTCATGCTGGCTCTTCAGGTCGCCCGTATAGCCATCCTGTATGTCGTATCCAAAAGAGTACTTCGGATCAGCATCGTACGGTTCCGGTGCCACGGGCTTGGGTGCTGGAGAAATATACGGAACTCGATCACGCAAACTTTCTCAGTTTCCTCACTAGCTCACCTGGTGCCGCGTATTGCGGGGGCCCGTGGTGTGGCCCATAGCCCGCATAGGTGTGCAAGGGTCCCGCTGGACCGCCATAGTACGGCCCAGGTCCTATAACGCCAGCGCAGGCAATGCCCAGCGCAGCGCTCAGCAGAAATATCTACAAGGAAGACAAGCTCAAATGATTAGCTACCATTTAGCATAGGTATAAGTTGATTGTCACAGAATTAATTAATTGATTTCTGGATTATTTAAGCATCTTCTGTGCATCTCTTAGATCACTGTTTGGTCACACCTTTAGCATTGCAGCGCGTCGATGTCCTAGCGCGTTTCTCCACTTGTCTGTCCTTTAACTGATCCAAGCACCGAACACCACTTGGAATGTGGCTAACCGACTTTTGGATGGGAGCACAACGACGAGGCGCACTAGAAGAAGAAACAACAACTGCAAACGTTTCGATGGCGTTCTGGCAATTTATACTAAAAACTGGCGGCAAATGTCGCCTGCTTCACATGGCGCAAAGACCAAGCGAACAATAAACTAATTGAAGATCAACGCTGAACGCTGAGCGTTGAGCGCTGAGAGACCAGTTAACAGTCCCGCACTGATCATGCCACATGGCGCGCAACAGCCAATAACAGCAACAACAACAGCAACAACAACAAGTTAGTATATATATAAGTGAGACTGGGCAGCCACCTGGCTATGATTCGAATCGTGTGTCTGGGTTCAGCTTCGCTGCAGCGGCTTAGAAAGGTTATTCTTCCGCTTAGCCGACTAAAGGGACCTGGGTAGAGCCGCTGTTGCTGTTGCCCTTTCACTTTTTGCGATTTTCGGCAATTGTGTGATCGTTTACCACGCTGCACACACACAATTGAAATGTTAATTTATTATAGGCCAGGACTTTGACCAGGCTTAAACGTTTGTAATTAGTGCCAGCTCCGTTAGATATTCAATTCCAAATGAAATGGCAACCGGCATTCGGCAGTCGGCAGTCGACAGTCGGCAGTAGCAGCAACAGCTTCGCGCATGCGCAAAAGGTCAGGCAGTCGACAATTAAATTACAAGAAACCAAAAGCTTCGCTCCAGCAGCCGGCAGACACAAAAAGCGAAAGGTCAACTTGCCCACAGCTTAGGCAACGGCACATTTGTGCCCTGACTCGCTCACATAGTCATGCAGCACCCCTGCTACCCCCGCTCAGCCCAGCCAAGCCAGGCCATGCCAACTCCAAGCTGTTAGCCAGAACGAATAATGTCACTTGTATCATGTTCACCGAGTGCACTTAATTTATTACTGCAAATTTGTTGCAAGCCACAGATCTGCAAATCCATTGACAGTTCCAGCCATTGTAGACCACATCCAGCTTGGTATGTGACAAATATAGCAAGCAGTCGTGCCGCTATTCGACTGATCTAAACAATGGATCAAAAGACAATATCGATTTACAGTTTCCTTCTCATGTTGTGCAAGTCCAGTCAAGGTTTAATGGAAAACTCTGTAACGAGCTGAGGAAAGCAAAAAGCGACGAATGAGTGAATATATCACAGAGTAAGTATATTTATTCTATTGATATGATTAATATGATTGATATATTCAGATTATTTTTGTGGATATATTTAATGCTGAATTACACTAGAAGACTAAAAGATCTAGTTGGTATTCGRATTTCTTTATTATTATTTTATATTTAGTTATTAATTTATTAACCATTTACCACTAAGAGAACCATTCCATTGGTATTCGAATACATAAATATGTTTATTTATTTCAAGCATATCAACAAGCAGAATTCTTTAATATTTTTAAGTTTGTTTATGGCAGTTACCGGCAGCTGCCGTTTAAGACTATTACATTGGCTTATTCTCGCCTGTATCGAACTATCTGTGACATCGGGTCTAAGTTCTTTGAGCAGCAGACAATAAGTATCGCTTGAAGTCATCGAGCTGTCGTTTTCCATTTGCTTTTCCGTTTTCATTCCTTTATCGCAACATTCAAACTCGTATTCCCAATTGATGTCATGCCAGTTAATTCGCTTAATGTAGTTGCAGTTGCGGTAAAAATGTCTTCGAGAAAGCACACTGCCTACGCATGGCTAGCATATTTTTTTGCCTTCAGTGCAATCTTTGAGTTCTACTTTGATATCCGCACGGGGAGTTTGAGAAGGTCGCGCGTCTTGTGCATTTACACCAAACTCTTTTGCTTAATTTCCTTTCTAGTCATCTCTTATAGGACGATTGCGTTCAGTCCATCGAGTCCGTATTACCTTACTCGCTCGCACGTAATGGCCCTCCTGCTGGCCGTTTATCCGTACATCAGGTGGCTGTCCTTCGTGACCTGTGCTTACTGTGCGCAGCGTTGGCAGCAAAGGATATTTAATATGCTCCAGGCTCTGCTGAAGGTGGAGCGGTTCATAGCCGAATCTCACTATTGCGTCACACCACTGGAGAAGTCGCATCTCCAACTGTTATTCTGGCTCAGATTGCTGCTGCAAGTCCCACGCACCGTAGCTTTCATTATATACTCATTCACTGCAGTCGATGGCCTTTACATTTTTGTAGCCGCTCTTGGCTCCAAAACTATCGTAGACGAGCTGTATTTTCTGGCATTCGCTATTATCTGGCAAATGTGCTACACCTTCATGAAACTGCAGCGTTACATCAATCAGCTGTACGCCTCGCCAATCCCCAGAAAGTCAAAGAAGGAGCAGAAAATGCTGGAAGTGCATCGCATGTACTATAGACTCATTCAAATGACTAGGGACTACTGCGAAGTTTTTAAATATCCGCTGGCCTGCTTGTTGCTGATTCTAGTTTGCATGAGCTGTGTGACTGGATGCTCGTATTACCGCTTGCTGGTCGGCAATCACTTGGACAGCAGCAAACCTCTCGGGGAATGGCTCACGCTATTGGTAAACATCAACTATTTCCTGGAGCTCTACCTATTTGCTCTCATCGCTAGCATGATTGGTAAAATTCATGAGCACACTTTGCATGAGTTGCGCGCCTCCTTCTGCGATTCGGATCTAGTGGAGCGCAGTGTAAGTGCCACGATTCAAACTCATGCTATTATCCCAATGATTTCTCCTTCGTAGAGCGACTGGCTGGGCTTGCAGCTGGCCTCCCAGGCTACGAGCATCAAAATCTTTGGCTTATTCAACATAAATCTTCAACTGTTCATTCCACTCGTAAGCGGCATCGTCCTTCACATAATTTACATCATACAGTGTGACTACAAATATATGTAATGCAAGTCCGGCTTGCCCAACTGGGAGACACTCTGCGACCCCTTTAAGCATCGTTAGAAAGCACGTGCAGTTACACTTGTGCACGCACACACATACATACCCACACTTAAACGTGGCTGCAGTTGTGCTTGGGCTGTCGTCGACTCTGTTTTTCTGTGGAAAATGAATTGTTTCATAACTTTGGTTCTAGCTGCACTTGCTTAATAATAATAAAAGTCGTTACACTTTGACAAATGATTTTAGTTGATTTTAATTTGTGGGAATAGATCGAAATTATACAGCAAACTAATGTAATTAATAAATATAACTAAAGTTAAATTTTTAAATATTTTGATTATTTTTATACACAAATAATTGTATACATACACGCAGCGTATGATATAAAAAATCATATTAAAAATGTTAAGTCTCGCCACTGCTGAAAAAGGACCAGAAATGACATGCCTAACTTGAGGTAGAACATCCTGATGAGTTAGACGGAGGTCAGCCATGCCTCCTACTGTCTGTGGTACCAAAGCAATGATATATATTTTTCCAATTTAAATGAGTTCGAGGCATGAAGAGAAGAGTTTGATTGAATTTTGATTGAATTAATTAAAACTATATTTTTAGCTGAATTCCAGCTAATATCTTACATATATAAAGCGCATTAAATTATTACTATTCACCTTCAGCCTGATTGGATACAGAGAGAGATAATTAGAACTATTCATGAACTTTAAAATTTCAATATATTTATTGCATTTTAATGCTGCTTAATGCTGAACTTTATTGATTTTCAAATATATATATTGTCAAGCTATTAAGTCGTTCCCAATGCTTATTGGCGATGTAATGTGACTTGGGAAATGAGTGGAATGGAAAAATATGTTTTATGATGCCCTAGAAAATATTGTAACTGCCTGAGTCCCATCCCATGGATATGAAAGCAGTTGACGCTGTGTTGCCAAAGTGGGTCAGCTGTTTTTATTAGTGTAAAACATGTGCCACAGTGATAGCTCGCTTGTAATTTTACGGCGCTGATTGAGTGTTTAAGCGGCAACTCTCGGCGCATTTGGTCAGTCCATAAATGAAACTTGTAAGTAGATGTCCGGCCAATGCGAACATGGACTTCAGCCGCGTACTAGAGAATTGTGGAGCATTCGGGCGCTTTCAGCATGTGATCCTGCTGCTCTATGGCTATACGAACATACTCAGCTCGCTGCACTACTTTTCGCAAACTCTGATCACATTCACTCCGGAGCACTGGTAAGGCGAAGAGATTCGGTTCGCGAGCCGTATTTAATAGTGCGCTTGGTTTAGGTGCTACCATGACGATCTTAAGAATCTGAACTCCTCAGATCTTCGCCAGATATACGCGAACGTGTCTCACAAGTCCTGCACCCTGCTGGAGGCAGTGGTCAATGGCACTGGCGTCGCAGCGAGCAGTGGACACTGCCAGAACTGGATATTCATGCGAGAGCAGGGCTACGAGAGCATCACCACTGAGGTGAGTAGAACTTCTCGCTCAAGACTCTACGAAATTGGCTAATATTCATTGCAGCTGAAATGGGTCTGTGACAAGTCGCATCACTCGGCCGTGGGACAGTCCTTCTTCTTCATTGGCTCCGTTGTGGGCACTGTGATATTCGGAAATCTGTCGGATCGCATTGGACGTCTGCCGGCGCTACTGCTGGCCACATTAGCCGGAGCATCGGGAGACTTTCTCACCTCGTTCGTCTATGGCTTTCCACTGTTTGCGTTCTCCCGCTTTGTCTCCGGACTCTCCACCGACACCATGTACTATCTGATGTACATTTTGGGTGAGTATCTCGACTACAGTCTTGTATGACAGTATACGAACATACGGTTACATGTGGTCAGTATTCGAGTACCTCAGTCCCAAGCGCCGCACCTTTGGACTGAACATCATCCTCGCCTTCTTCTACTGCTTCGGCCTGATGACCTCCCCCTGGCTGGCCATCTGGATAGGCAATTGGCGGCATTACTTGTGGCTGGCTTCGCTGCCCGCTCTCGGAGTGCTCGCCTACCCGCTGCTCATCTGCGAGAGCGCCCAGTGGCTGCTCACAAAGAAGCGGTACGAGCGGGCCGTGCAGTGCCTGAAATGGGTAGCCAAGTTCAACGGGCGGCAGGTGGAGGACTCTGTGTTCGACGAGTTCGTCAAGTACTATCGCGAGAAGGGCAACGAGGAGCTCAAGCTGACCAGCGATGAGGACACCTTTATGGGCATGTTCAGAACACCGCACCTGAGACGCTGCACGCTCTCCCTGCTGCTGAAATCGTGAGTTCTAGCTGGTGAGCTCCTAGTGCCAGCTCTTGATGATGTGTTTCTATTCAGCGTCATCATTACACTCTCCTATGATGTGATCAACCGCAATATGGAGGGGCTGGGCACTTCGCCCTTCAAGCTGTTCTCCTACACCTCCATCAACTACCTGCCAGCGGGCTGGACCATTCTGCTGCTCCAAAACAACATCGGACGGAAGGGCATGGCCTGTGGCGCGCTGCTGGTGGGCGGCATCATAACCACAGTGACGGGCTTCCTCATTGCCTTCCTGGACCCGAAGGAAAATGCGCTCCTGCTGGCCGTCATGATTGGCCTGGGTCGCTACGGCGTGACGGTCTCCTACGATGCGGAAATCCAATACGCAGCCGAGATAATACCGACCAGCGTACGGGGGCGAGCTCTCTCCAACATACACGTCGTTGGCCTGGCCTCCAACTCGCTGGTCTTCTACGTGATCTACTTGGCCAAGTTCTATAAGCCCTTGCCATCCATATTCATAAGCTGTTTAATGTTCATCGGCGCTGGCCTCTGTCTAACTCTGCCAGAAACTCTGAACAGGTGCGCTGCTCACCTCTATACTAATTATTCACTTCAAATTACTATTTTCCGACTTACAGAAAGCTGCCGGAAAACCTGGCGGAGGCGGAAATTTTCGTCAAGCCTGGCCAGTGCTTTTCCCTGTGTCCCAAGCGAGAAAAAATCTCATCGACGACAATTTAATGTTCCTAAGTTGAAACTTGCTTTGCAGTCTTCAGGGCACACACATACTATGTATGTATTGTGTGCTGGCAGTCAATATGTGTAGTTTCATTGAATATCGGACCAGCCGCTCTTATATGATAAGTCTGAATATTAACTGCTTAAGATTATACAGATTATTTGTAAACAGTGCCGTGACTTAAACTTCCCATTATTTTGACATTTGTAAATCTTTAACCGTCTTTCAAATAATCGAGGAAGGCAACCGAAAATTAACTCCATATTTACTGTGAGTGACACCTGTTTAAATACGAATATTATTATATTGACACGAATGAACACTATCACGAAATCTTTTGGATGTATTTTAACAACTCAGTTGAACAAACACAAACATTAGAATAAGAATTTCGAGCCGGAACAGCAAAAAGCAGCCCGAAATAAATAACTAAGCAAAGTTCAATAATTTTTAAAATAACTGAAAAGTTCTTACTGCTGAAAAGTTCTTACTTTAACTAATACGAATCATCCGATTCCTATCGAAAGGATGCAGCCGTTCGTCTAAGATCTAGACGAGATTTGGGTATCACATTCCATTTCATTATATTGACTTTCAAAGTGACTTTCCAATAATGGGAATAGCGAACCTTTTGAGTTCATTTTTGTACTCATTCATGCAATTGAGATGAGTATATTGGTTTTTAAGAGTACAAAGGCGAGTCTGATACTGGTAAAGTTTTTCTTATTGATAGCCTGCACAAATCAGGTGAACGATATTTAACAACAAAATTACTTTATTGTTTGATTAGAGTTATATACATATATATACAAATTGGGCAAATCGGAAAAATTAGTGCCTGGAAATATTTAGAGACTGTCAGCGTGTGGACCGTGAATAGGTATCCTGCAGTCGGTAGGTTCCGACCTGATGATAAAAATGTATAGAAAAGCATTTACAATTATATTCATATATATATATTGCTATTATCAGATCAACAAATGAATGCCTGCATCTTATTTTTTGTTTGCAAACAGCTTGTTTACTCGGCCTTGACAGTTTGCAAATGAAAAGAATGCAGCGGGTGGGCGGCATTAAATTGTCGAGTCGACACCGAGCGATACGCACGCATAAATACTGTTAGCTATATAATAACTGTGAACGTATCGCATCGCATGCTAAATAATTTCGAGCTCGCCAATTTCAACGGACAAAATCTATATTTATCTATTTCAAACGAAACAGCGTCACATCCAATGCAATGCATTTGTTTTCGGCTGAGAGTCGGCCGGGTCCGGGTCTGGGTCTGGGTCCGGGTTCGGGTCCGTGCGCGACCATTCGACATTTCAAACTTGACTTCGGCGTGCTGCAGTTCGCGTTTCAAGTATTCTGATCGAATTATCAACGCAGCAGCTGTGGCGGCCTCTCCCGAGTGCGGGTTCAATTCGAACAGCCCTCAGCTGTTTTAGATGTGTTTCAGAAAATCTGTTTCTTATCGTCGATTTCTGTGCGAGAAGCAAAATACGATCCACGTAACCATTTCTTATTCAAGTGGCGATTCGATAAGTCGGCCCAGTCATACAAAGTTCCATACGTAACAAAGTTTGAATATTACCGAGCAGATAAACTTGATTTAACAAGTGTTATTACAGTCAGTTCCAATCGGATATGTGGCAGAGGAGTTCATAGCTTAAAGTAAGATATTAACAACTTTAAAAAATTATATTTTCTTGTTAAATTATCTCTGTTTTGTAATTAGCAAAAGATGAATATTTTGACTAGATGATGGAGTGTCATAATCAATGAAAATAATCTTGGGATTCTGTGTCTAAGTCAATTCAAACGTTTATCAACCCAAGTACAAAGCACGAAGTTCCAACTGCAACAATATCGTAGGTCAACAACCTTACGAATATGTGCAAAATTTCTATAGATAACAATTGAAGGCAAAGCAAATCCTCTGTGCCACACAGCTTAGTAAAATCAATCAGTAAAATTCAACTTAAATTATGGACTTTATTTATTTTTTCTTTATTTGCAAAGATGAGTCATGATACGACAAAGAGAAAGATAATTGACTGCACTAATTAAGGAATCTTGAGGCAAATTAAATTGAGTAAGATGTAAGGCATATTCCAAGAGTGTTGTGACACAGTGCGGCCGTTGGCTTACCAGGGATAAGTTCAGAGAATAAAGCTATTCATTCTGCTGGCAGAGTGCAGACAGAGGTACTTGAGGCAATAAGTGGGAGCGTGAATAGATTGCAGTGCACAGAGGCGATAGCACAATGCTCGAGGTGGACAAAATTCTGGAGAAGTGCGGCGACTTTGGGCGGCTGCAGTGGCTGATGCTGTTGCTATTCTCGCTGATCAACTTGCTCTCGTCCATGCACTACTACTCCCAGACGATCATCAGCATCGTGCCCAAGTATTGGTATGTGTATTGAATGCAAGCAAATAACGTGGCGTATACTCAATATTTAGCCCTCCCACGCTCAGGTGTGCAGATGACCCGACAGCACCGACACCAAGCGAGTCCAGCTGCCAGCCGCTGAGCACCAACGCGAGCCACCCTGCGACGTGCCACAGCTACCGCTATGAGCCGTACATGGGCTACCAGAGCTTCAGCAACGAAATGCACTGGATTTGCCAAAATGCATGGAAGCTGAGCCTGGGCCAGTCCATGTTCTTCGTGGGCTCCGTGGTGGGCACCCTGGGTTTGGGCTACCTCGCGGACAAAGTCGGTCGCTTGCCCATCCTGATCCTGGCCAACATCATCGGCATGCTGGGCAACCTGCTGACAATCCTCAGCAAGAACCTGGCGCTCTTCTGCGTCTTCCGATTCATCGCTGGACTCGCCACCGACGCCAACTTTCTGATGATGTACATTCTAGGTGAGTGGAAGGATTTGAGTGAAGAATGAAATACAACTCAATTGGATTTTGCAGTCATGGAGTACATGCGTCCATCCATGCGCACTCTGGGCCTGAGCATCTGCATCGGCGTCTTCTACTGCCTGGGCTCCATGGGCGTGCCCTGGATAGCCGTGCTCGTGGGCAACTGGCGCACCTTTCTACTTGTCACCGCGCTGCCGTTGGGCCTGGTGCCGCTCTTCTATTTCGTGGTGCCGGAGAGCGCCCAGTGGCTGATCTCGAAGCAGAAGTACGACAAGGCTGTGGCCTGTCTGAAGCGCGTGGCCAAGATCAATGGCCGCCAGATCGATGACAGCGTCTATGAGCAGTTCATCGAGGACTGCAAAATCAGCCAGAAAAACTTGCAGACGGGCAAGCAGAATATGCTGGGACTCTTCAAGACGCCCCGACTGCGCCGCAACACCTTCATACTGTTCTTTAAATCGTGAGTAGCCCGCTCTCGGCCCACTGCAGTCCCAATCTGATTTTATCTCGCGCTCGCCCTCGCCCTCGCCCAGCATGGTCATCACCCTGTGCTACGATGCCGTCTCTCGCAACGTCCAAGGCCTTGGCATTTCGCCATTTCTGATGTTCACACTGAGCGCCACCACAATTCTGCCCGCCTGCCTGCTGATCATTGCTCTGCAAGATCGCATCGGACGCAAGGCAATGACTTCCATCACACTGCTCCTCAGTGGCATTTTCATCTCGGTAACGGGCATTGTTCTCTTCGCCGCAGGCACAGCCAGCAACCAGAGTAAGTCGAGGCAAGGCTTTAATGCTGGCAAACCAGTTCCCAAAAAATATTTGTTTCTTTGCCTTTTCTTATTATTTACTTAACTATGTATTATTTACTTAACTCTTAGTTGAGTTTTTACTTAAACTCTGCTAAAGCTTTAATAACTTTTAGTTAGTAATTTTCACTGCACGACATATGTTGAGTTTCTGCCTCTTAATTATTAGATATTTAAATATGTCTAACTAATTATTCTACATACTTCATTTCTCACTTCATCTTACTTCCACTGTATCATCTCATCCACCACTTTACTTCACTTTCTCCCACTCTCACATCTTACTTCCACTGCATCATCTCATCTCCACTTTCTCATCCCAACAGCAACCACTGTGCTGGTGACGCTCTCGGTGATTGGGCGCTTTGGAGTCACGGTGGCCTACAACTCGGGCGCCCAGTACGCCACGGAGCTGATTCCGACGTGTGTGCGGGGCCAGGGCGTGGGCGCGGTGCATGTCATGGGCTATGCCTTCACATTCCTCAGTGTGTACATATTGGATACGCGTTCGGTGTTCTCGCCGCTGCCGGAAATCATCCTCGGCGTGATCTCGTTCCTGGGCGCTTGCCTGACGCTGCTGCTGCCGGAGACACTGAATCGCACGCTGCCGGCCAGCCTGGAGGACGCCGAGCAGTTTGGCATGAACGATCACTGGTACACGTTCAGCTGCTTCGAGAAGCGCTCGCAGTCGGTGGCCAAGCTGGCGGCGCCGCGGGGCACGTCGCTGTCCATTTCCACCGACTCGTCGGTCTATTTCTAGGGCAGAGCGTAAGCGTATGTCAGGCATTAGCATACTTTTAGGCTTTAGCTTATTGTGGTAAATTTAGTATTTTAAGTCAGAGCTCGGGTGCAGAAACAATTGAAAGTCATCTTCATTGCTTAAGCATAATGTTTTGTACAAATACATTTAAGTATAATATCGAAAATAGATATAGATTTGTAAGTTTTATATAAAGCCTCGCAATTACAATTTGGAAGTTATTAAGTGATAATTCAGTTCACAATAATCAGATAAAATTTCGATATGCTAGTTTTTCTTTTAATTATTTTTAGTCTTGAGTGTGATCCCTTCTCCAGACTCCTGCATTCCGAATGGTGTCATATTAATAGAAGATCAGTAGAAGGAGAAGCCGGCATAAGGGGAAGAAGAGTTTTAATATTACAAAACTAGTAATTCATGTTGTTTTTCTCCTGTTAACTAGCGCGAATTCCACATATCCTGATTATGCATTAGTGTATAAATCTCTATTTCTATCTATATAAAAGCTGCATAAAGTTATTCGCTAAGTATCTGCTAACAATTGCATCCCAATCCCAGCACATTCAGAAACTCAGTTTGAGCTTTAAACTAGAAAAGCTTTTAATGTTAGTCGGGCACCACGACTGAGTAACATTGTTGGGCACTGTTAAGAAAGCTTTGGGTGCTGACATCAGCTAATAAGAATATGTTAATTCAGAAGAGACTGCTGTTAAGAGCTTTGCACTGATGCTGTTGTCATGGGGCACACACACATACATAACTATGTATGTACATGTCAACTTGTAACTAAATAAACTAAAGAAACTGCACAGCATTGCTCGGCTGCAACAGATATTCGTAAGATTACAATTGACTTGATTTATTCGAGTCTTAGCTAAGAGCACTGACAGTCAAATTTTGATGTCATTTTCTGCTTAACAGTGCTGAAATGCTATAACGAAACTTCTCGATGCCAACCGATTTACGTTTTATGTCTGCAGCAGTTGCTGAGAAATTTGATTTTGACTCTGGCGAATCTTTGGGAGATTGTGAAGTTGCGAAATTTGATTAGGCAATTTGGTTATCTACGTCCGCAGTTGCCGTACAACATAAATTCGTGCTTAAATACTTGCAGTTAACAGCCAGCTGCCGCGCCCCCTGCTCGAAGTGGTGGGCGGCGGCGGCTGTTGCTGTTGTCTTGGGCAGCGACGCGTTTACCTAAAGTTTTCCATTGACTTTGCAAATTTATGCAATTATGCAAAAGTTTTTAATGAGTTCTAAATAAAGTTAAAATTTCGTTGACGGCAGCGGTTAGCTGGTGTAAACTACACCAGGCGACCAAATGAAACTTTTGTCCCAGCCAAACAAAAACTTTGCCCGCCAATTGTTTGAAGACCCATTCAGCTCTGGAGTCGCAGTCTCAGCTTAGCGCTTTGGTAATCACTGTAACGACAGCCCCGTCATGGTCAAAAATTACGAATTGCAAATGCAAATTGCCTAACTTGCTGCACTTTAAGCAGCTTAAGCACGTCCACGCCCACGCCCACGCCCTCGCGCACGCCCACGTCCCATCAAGGACGCGCTCATCTCGGCGATGATGGGCAATGTCAAGTGCTCGAGCGACAAGCAGCAGGAGGCACTGTGTGAACTCATTTTGAGACGTTTGTCTGGCAGTGCCTTCATTACGTAATCCTAGCTGGGCTATGCACAAATAAAGTTCATGGCCATGGTCAATACGAGTGCGGCTCACTTGGCAATTGGCCGTAGGCCATAAGCATTGCGGTGCTCGGAGCTCGGAACTCGGCTCTTATTATGCATGCGCTTCCGCTCGATTTATGCGCCGGCATCTCTGAGGGCGACACTCAGGCAGCGCCAAGGGAACTTTATCAAACAAACATAAACATGGCTAAGAAGCAGCAGCAGCACCTGGACAGGAATGGAATGGAACGGGATGTGCTGCGTGTGGCCACAAAATCCGTGTGATTAAAGACGCCCACGTAAAAGGTTTGTTAATGCTCATTTGTAAAATGTTTGAATGCGAATTTTAATGAGCGACAGGAAACATGCCACAGACGCCGACAGTCGAGCGGTGTGGGCGTGGCCGCAATCAGCTTACAATGCCTAGAACATGTCTGTGCCTGTCGCGAGTGCGCGAGTGTGCGAGTGTGTGTGTGTGTGTGTGCTCACATTTAAATAATGATGTGCAATTTATAGCCCTACCAAATGGGTGATCACAGCCCAGTGTTATGCCTCGAGTGCTTATGTAGGTGATTAATAAGGCTGTGGCCGCTTAAGGAGCTTCAACTAAATCAGCTAATTAACTCATTTGCACTAAAAATTTAAGCCGACCCAGGGGGCGTGTTTCCCATTTTGCTACCGTTTGCCCGATGACCCGCATGTGTCAACCGGCTGTCGCCTAGGCTGCAGGAATCTGGCAGGCGTCTCGGCTGCGCGCTCGTGCGTCTCGTCCAGTGGAATGATACACGGCACGGCACTTCGGCTCCATGGCAAATGAAGTGTCCAGCGGTGAATCTAATACACATACATACATACATACGCATACACACTGTATTCAATGCATAGCCGGACTGGAGTTGATTAGCATTTGAGGCTTTGGCATTATTTGTGTGCAGGATTTCTTGGACTGCTTGGCTCTGAGACGGCTTAGCCAAATAAATCACAAAAGAGGCCAACAATGCGAGCCAACAAACCGACAAACTATGGCCCATCCGACTTGGTCAATATATATTTTCGACTGCCAGCAGCAGTTTGATTGAGCCCCGAATGTTTATCCTGCTGTTAGTTAAGCTGTAAATACATGACTAGTCCTGTACGTAAATAGATAATTTGATACGTTGCCTCAGACAAAGCAAACAAACAATGCCATCTGTCCAGCTGACCGAGGTCCACTGCCGGCTATTCATATACTGCTGCATAAGCATTATAAGCCAAAGTCTCTACTAGCCTCAGGCAATCACTCACTATGTGTGTGTGTGTGTGTGTCTGGGCTTTCGTTTAATAGCCTCACTCTGGGGAGTGACTCGGAGTCTGTTTCTAATTGTAGTTTGATTTTTATGCGTATCGAATGAACAAAAGTTCTACGATTTGATCCAGCCCCGCCCAGTCCCGCTCAGCCCGCCTGAGCTCTGAAATCCGGGCCGAACAAAGCAGAGCCGTAAAGGGCTCCTGCTGCTCCTGCTGTCCAATGAAACCTAATAGCGAATTGAGAACGTGCTCCAATGCCAAAGAGCTTTGTTGGACTCAACACGGCGCAGGCATCGGCTAATTGCGACCCTTTTGCTTATCAGTCACCCCAGCCCGGCGGCTCCTCAAAGCCCTATTGGCCCATAAAAAGCAGCAAGCATAAGCCACGCTACAAAGGCAAATGGCAAACAAAAGGAAAAGAAAAGGACTCTCTGAACCAATTTGACTTTTGTGCAGCTTTATTTAAAAATAAATTTGCATTCAGTTTGTCACTTGGTGAGAAATTTGAAATACCAATTCAGCATTTGTTTGTGCTGTTAAATTGTATATATGTACATATTTGTATTGCTTATATATATTTATATCTATATGTATTTATATTGTTTATGCAACTTTGTAGTCCCTTCTCCCTTGCCCAACTGAAATGCAGTCAGCTCAGCAGACTCTACTCCTATTTCAGCTCCACTGCCGTACAGGGTATCTCATAGTCCACAACTTATGGCACATGCATTGCTATTTGTTTATATTATCGTTTCTGTGTTCTGTGTCACACGCTCTCAACTTTAATTTATACAAAGTTTTTTCTGCTGACAATCGCCGTGCTTCGCTCTGCGCTTAATTCAATTAACGCGTGGGCTGGTGGGCGTGGCTGAACAGAGATAGCGCAGGCAAGTTGAATTTGTTTTCTTTTTTGTTTCTTAATTCATGCCAGCAATAACAGGAGCCAGCGCAGCTTGAATATTTATAAAACATTTTAATACTTTATTTGCGCTGCGTCTGTTTATGTTTTTTCCATTTAGTCGAAATGTCTGGCTGATCTGTGTATGGGAGTCATGCACTGTCAACATTGCATCCACGGGCTGTATTTATGTGGGCGTGACTGCCAGAAACCGAAAGTTAAAGCGCGTCAATGCCGGAGCTGCTGCCCTTTAAGAATAATTAATTGAATGAGGTAAATATTAATGTAAAAATGGAGCTCTTCCGTTATCGGGGGCCGGGATGCCGTAAAAGGGTTGCCCGTTTAATATTTGATGCGAATAATATTATTTTTAAGCCTCTTTCGGTTCGCCCTTGCCCGGACGTTGAGTGCCTGACGAGCCCGCTGCAGATCGAGCACAATCTGAGTCGCATGGAAAACAAATGATGCGCATCGATAGAGAAACTTGATTACAAGTGACTTAGAGCAGGGGCTGTCGGTGGCGGCAGCAGCTGCTCAATGGATGAGACTGCGCCTCGCATGTGCAACAGGACGTGATGGCAGCTATTTTTCCATTTTCCGATGCGATGCAATGCAAACTTATGAACATGTTTACGGCAATGTTCATATTTCACTTAAGTACATTTTGCTGTTGTTGCTGCCATTGCCAGGCGCTGCAAATTGAAGTCTTAAATTTGCATGCACTGCGCTTCACAATGAATAAATCACGCTCACATATCCCGCATACTCCCTCTGCCAAGAAATCGATGTGGCCGGGGCTGGCGCACTAACTTATTCATCCCCTGAATAAATAGCCTCTAGCTACATTCTGCTTATTATGATGGCATGTGCACACTCACACACACATACGTACATTGTGTATGTAATATTCCTATATGTATGCATACGTCGAGTGCGCCGCCATCAAATTATTTCCGAAGCAGGAATGTTGCGGAAGCAGAAGCTACAGCAGGGCGGACCTTGGCTTCGCTTGCTTTCTTCATTTTTCCTTTGGCTACTGTTGGCGCTCAATAAAATTTCAATCGCTTTATATAAATTGCAAATTACATTAAACAGATTATCGCTCCACGACTGGCAGTCGGCCACAAGGCCTGCAGGCATCCTGCGGGCCCTTCCGCTCTCACGCTCATCTTGTTGACACAGGAGCTGTTAATTATTTGTGACTTGAGAGTCTGATATGTGCAGCAGCAGGAGCAGCAGCAGCAGCAGGAGGAGCAGCAGCAATCTGTTTATGTTAATAAAACATACGACTCATTGGCTATGCACATAAATATATAAATGGAAATCGGGCAACAATCAAAAGAGGAATCCTTTTAAAGATTCCAGAATGGCCGGAAGCAGCTTTAATGACACCTCTTGGCATATTTATGCTCCGCTCTTATTTATTGTTTTATGTCTTCTCGCAGCCTTCGTAAGAGGTTTTTAGCTGCTCTCCACTCGACCAGATAAATGCTCGGGTTAGTGGAAAGGTCTCTCCGGGATACCCTTTTTATGCGCCACACCCTATATGCGGGCGTGCTGAGGGTATATCTAACTCTGCCATGCGTATGCAACAAGCTGAGCCAACGATAACAGCTATCGATTGATATCATTTTATGTTCGACTAAAACTCATACAACATTCTATGTTTACGCTGGTAATCTACGACCCCAGCTCTGTGCCGGAGTATACAGGGTATCAATGGCAGTCTAGACTGGAGTGTATTGACTCGTTATTCGACAAATATGTGTGTTTACTTGGCTGTATTTGAAATATGTCCCCACTCAGCTGTCCTTTCAGAAGTCGTTTGCTTTGTGTTGACGCGAGCGTCTCTGCCACACGGGTAGGCTTTTCCCTTTTTCTCTGTGCTGCGTTAACTGGGCTCAGTGACGCATGCCTTCCCTTTCGCAATATTCGATTCTTGTCATTCATGCGCGCATGTGAGCAGAGCTCTGTCTGGGTATGTCAATACAGAGTATTTCATTCATAATTAGGGCTGCTTTTTCAGAGTATCTTTCTGGCATAATTGACTTTGACTATGGGCTGTGCATGTGAATGGGGCATTGATTCGTTATTTACTCTGAAATGCGATGCTTTGTCTCTATTCTCTCATGTTTCAGGCAATTCATATTTGGCCAGAGCCATTTGGCCCCATTTATTGTCCCTCTGTTTCGTTTGGTGTTCGACTCGCAGTTTGTATCTGATTTTGTTTTTCTCTTCTTTCATTCAGGTGCCCACTCAAAGTCGCCGTGGCCCATTTCGGTCCCCCAACAGCCATCAGCAAAACGTTGAGCAGCAATCGGCTTATTTATTTATATATATACCTGAAAAGCAGCCAAAGGCAAAGCTGTAAAAAAGGCTTGCTGACCCACTCCGTTTATTTTTATTCCGTTGTGTTTATTATTGACAAACTTAACTCTTTGGGCCGCTATTGTTCTATTGGACAGCTGAAATGAAGATAAATATCTCGGCGAGTGCTTAATTTACTTAGCTGGAATGAAGCAAAAATCCGAAACTTTTCACACAGCGACAACTTTCATCATTATGCTCTGAGGTCGTGGCAGCTGCTGGCGCAGTGCTCGGGGCACGTCCTGCCGACAAATGCAATTAGCTCAATTGTCATTTGAACAGCTAGGCGCTGGGCGTGTCTGGGCAAAACATTGTCACTTCATAAAGTTACAAACGGACGCAACTTTTTCGGCAGAGCGCGCCGCGACAAATGTGAAGAGGAATGCGGAATGAGCCAGGCGGCGCTGAATCAATTTTCCGAATTATGCTGCAAGAGCCAAAGGCAACACTAATGGACGATTAATATTGATTGTGTATGCCCAGCAGATATTAAAAAAAAAATAAATAAATAAAGAAAAGAAGAGGCAAATATGTCATAATCCCATTTGGTCTGGGCCCTATTAATCCTGCGCATATTTTAATTACATTTTGAGGTCGACCGCAAATGGGCTATTAATTGAAAAGTCCCGCCTTATTGACAGTCCTGACCGACTTGTCGACTAATCGCATTAGGCTTCCATTTGCATACGGCTCCAATGAAGCGCTCCACGAATTATACAAATTATAATATAATTCCATTACATTTCAACTTCAGCGCAGCCCAGATGAGTTGGGCGGCTGGCAGATGTGTTGCTTCTTTTTTTTAGCATAGCAAAAAGCTGCACAGCAACCGTGCAAGTCCTTACGAATCATTTGAATAGCGGACTGAGAGACATAAATCTATAAATAGAGCCGGGCTGGCATAATTTTGTAATTTTGTAAATAAAACTTGAGCGCGCTCAGCTCAGCTCAACACGAGCACAGCGTGTTAAGGCCTATGTATGTGTGCCTAGGAGGACACTTTCTTGTGGCTCTGTGCCATAGAGACATAAATACCAATTACGGGCAAAGCTATTAACAAGAAGTGTAATTATGTGATTTATGTTGAACAAGGCTGAGACGAAACTTTTAACTAAATTAACTCGTGTTGAGGAATGATACAAGCAATACAAATATTTATATATTTACATACTTACATATTTACATATTTATATTTAGCTTTCTCTTTTGCCACGCAGATTTGCAAACTCACTTCAGCTATCGAAAAATACTGCACATATTTAAGCATTCCTCATAAATACTCAAGGGTAACATATGCAGATGCACACGCTCTCTCTTTTCATTTTGTCCTTTGCAGTAGTCGCACACACACACTACAGTGCACTGTTGCACACATTGTGCTGGTCGTATGAGCGAACCATGTACCATTTATCAAATGTTGCTTTTGATATTGCGCACATCCTGCGGAAAATTAAGACACCGCCTGGCACGCTTCCTAAGCAATTTAAGTGTCCATTTTTTATGGTGCACACGAGAGTTGCATGAGTGCGTGCTCATGTGCACACACACACACGCACACCCACTCACACATGCTCATTTCAGGCTTGAACTGGTTATGTTTTATGAACTATAGCGAAAATATGCGAACAATTCATGCCACACACACACACACACACAGTGAGCAGATTCCTGTCCAGCTGCAGGAAGCTCTTCGACTAGTGCCCCAAAACGAGGCACGAGACTGTCACGTCTGTTGCCTGGCAACGGGCGCAGTTGCGGTTTCCTGGCAATAGCAGCCAATTAAATTGGCTTGTGGGGCCTTAAGCCGCAATAGCCGACAGCTGCAGATCGAATATCTTCACAGGCAACCTGGGCCATGCTAATGAGCAGCAGCTGCTCGGCTCCTGCTGCAGCCTGCCGCAGCCTGCTCATTTGCGCACTTGTCCGCCTGCGCCCAAATGCATTTCAATTACAGCACATTTAAGGCGCTTCGGGGCAACGCAGCTGACCACTCGGTCCGCTGCAGCCCCATGGATCCATTCATCAATGCGGGCCACTGGAGCTGCAGCTGCGGTCATAATGCGCCATCGATAATGGAGCGTCAGCAGTTCATTGTTAAGCCGCAGCAAGGCGGCTGGGCTCAGCCCAACAATGGGGCAAGGGAATAACGGGACAACGGGACAACGGTGCGTATGGAAATCGAGTGTATGGAACAGTTAATGGCATTCAATGAGCCTGTCCCACGCATGCAGTTTATCGACTGGCGCTGAGCACCTCGCTGAGCACCGGGTCCCGCAAATTCGCGCTCTACAGCTCAAAGTAGCAAAGTACATGCAATCGGCTCTCGTTCGCTTTGAGCACGAAAACATCATCTGGTCGACTTTTGTGTATTTTTATGCTTTTGTTGCTCTCGCTTTTGCTCCATTTTTTTTTTGGTGTCGCGCCTTTGTTGTGTGCGCGCATCCTTTGGGGCGACAGTGCATAATTTAAATTCCATTGTTGCTAGCCGAGCGTCGAGAGTCTGGAGTCTGGAGTCTGGAGTCTGGCATTTCGTGCTTAAATTACTTTGTGCTGCTAAGGCGCTTGCCAAGCAGCCAAAGCAGCAAACCAAACTGCCCCCAGGTCCTAGACAGCACTGCAAACAGGATAAAGGAGGACCAAATGTGGGCTAGTACTGCCGGCAGCCGAGCTCAAGGTGTGAGAGAAACATAATTTACCAAATTACAAAATTCGAATTCAAGTTTTGAGGCAATGAGAAAATGTCTAAGAAATTAAATTTTTAAAGAAAAAGAGACTGCTAGAGCATGTAGATAAGTCGATTTGACAGATATATATGGAATCTGGGACTAAATTATCAATATCAGAGCAAAAACACATCACAGCTGGAAGAGCTAAAAGCATTTCATTTCATTTAAGTGCCAGAGCCGATGGAATTGTGAATTTGGGTCGGAGACGGCTGCAGCTGGAATTAGTGGGAAAGGCTAAAAGCAATTCGCAAGCTGCAACAGATTGCTGAAAAGGTAACACTTGAAAAGGTAAACGAGCACAAGCAGAAGCACTTTAGGCATCACTTGGAGTGAAATGGCGTTTGGGTTTGGGATGCCGATGTGGATGCGGATGCGAGAGCTGTGTGTTTGTGGGTCACATTGGCATGCAATGCTCGTGCTGACGTTGAAATTTAATTTACACCTTTGCACGTACACAAACAACAGCAGAGCCGTGCTCTCTCGATGGGTCTGATCAGCAGCTGCTCCGCCCAGCCGCCCAGCCGCTCAGCTGCCTGCCCCGTGTTAGACTGGGCTGCAGCAACAACAACAACAACAAGAGAAGCAAACAAAAAGTTTTCTTTTGCAATTTAGCTTGCTGCCGTCGTCGATTGCTGTTGTTGTGCTATTGTTGTTGCTGCTGCCGCTGAAATTGGCGTTGTGGTACATGCGTCGGACGTGGCCGGGTTGTCGGTTAGTGCGGTTATATTTGACTTTTACTCGGCTCACTTTTGTGGTGCCGCTAATGCATGTCGATGCCAATAAGGCCGACCCACACTCCACACCCCACACTCCACGCACACCCACCTCCTGCCCTGCCGCCCGAGGCAGTGGCTCAGCCTGCAACAGCCAGCTACCTCGACGGCAGGCAGCTCCGGGCCGCCGCTGTTTATCTTACTGTTCACACCTGCAAAACTTCAGCGAGCATAAGTTTTTGTCTGTTTTATATGGCAGCTGGTGCCGTGCTGATGGTGCTGATGGTGCAGATGGGTCGCCGCCCACGCCGCCCTCTGCTTGGCAGGAGGCGTCCGCGATGCCTTTACAAATTCGTGTAAATTGAATTTATTGAGGCGTGCGTGTGCGCAGTTGATGACTTTGGTTGCCAAATTGGCTTCGAGGTATTTTCGTTTACGCGGCAATAAGCAATTTTTGACAGCTAACTGGCGAGCCACAATACGAGTGCCATCCCAACCCCAGCAGGCAGCCACCCAAGCACCCTTGACCCACTGCTGGCCATTAAGCAACAGTTGCAGCTGCTTTTCGTTTGCTGCATTAGCTTAATTTGCTGGCCAGCTGATGCTGCCGCTGCCTCTGCCGCTGCTGCTGCCTCTGCCGCTGCTGGACGAATGAAAAATGCTCTGCGTTAATAGAAGACAACTTGTTACACGAAGGCGTCTCGAGGCGCCCAAAGTTATGCTACAATATTTTTATGGAATGCCAAGAGACAGCGCCTGGGCAGGGCCTGGAAATAACTGTCGCCAGCAGATTGCATTGAATTTGGCACACGAAAAAAAAGAGGAAAGGAAAACTGAAAAAAAAAGAAATAGAAAGAAAAAGAGAAAGAGAAAGAGGCAAAGGCGAATGCGAATGCCGAAGGACACTACCAGGAAGGAAGTCATCTTTTATAATTCCAGCTTAGAGTTTTGGCAGCTTTTTCAGCTGCAGCAGCGACTTTTGCAAAAGTTCTTTCAAAACTAGCAACAGCGCTGGCCTTGTGACTTTTTGTTCGCAGCTCTGAGCAACTTGTTCAAATGCAGAATTGTGATTAACATAATCCCTGGAAGCGGGCGTGCGACAGCTGCACATGCAGAGAGAGAGAGAGAGAGAGAGAGAGGGAAAGGGAGAGGGAGAGCGGGAGCTGCAAAAGGTTATTTAAACATTTTAACAAGGGCCAAATGAATTGTAAGCACTTGTCGCCCCATTGCAGAACTTTGCGTTTTTGTTTATATGGGGCAAAAATTAAATTTCCTGTACCAAGACACGGAATAAAAGAGAAGAAGAAGAAAACAGAATTTAACGCGTAACGAGAGCTGCAAACCTGGAAACGTAGCAGTAATGAAGTTTTGCGCTCAATCAAGTTTAATAAGGCATTATGCCTTGGGCGAGAGCAAAAACTGTCAAAGTCAGCAGCAACAGCAGCAGCAGCAGCACCAGCAGCAGCAACACGGCGTCAAAGACCATGTCAACAAGGTGTAACCAAATGTCGCCGAGGCGGGGCACGCTTAGGCGAGCTGAGGCAAAGAACTAACGTTTGCAGCTGTGGAGCAGCTCGGAAGGTAGGCATTTCCGTCTACAAGTTTTTAGCAGGAAATGAGTGAAGTACCTGGCAGCTGAAAACACGCGAATCGTATAATTAAATACCATATCATAAAGTTCAATGAAGTTAACAGATAATGCTAAAGCCTTCAGTGTGCATTTATGTATGTATGTGAAACTAAGTCAACAATAACAAAGTTTACTTTAGTTTGCATAATATTATTTACATTGTATAATAATTATTCTAGAACTTTTTTATATGTAGAGCTCTTATAGGAATACAGAAAACACATTTTAATAATTAATTTTTGTATAATATATTATACTGTATATATAGTATTATTTTACTTTACTATTAAAGCTTATATCATTTTTAATTATTTTTAATAATATTTTCATAAAATTTTATTTACTTTTTCCCCTATTTACCTACTTTTGTATTTTTATTTTATTCAATTTTTTTTTGTAATTATATATTATTTTTGTGTTTATTTTTTTAATGTAATTGCGCAAGAGCTAAAAGTTATATTTAAAAAAAAAAATCTTTCTTATTCTTGTTAAGCTTTAGTCAATCACTCTTAAAGTTATTCACTAAAATATGTAGATTCTGTGTGTAATTATAAGAAATTAGATGTTCCATAAGTAATTGTCAACAAGTACATTAATGCTTGCAGCGCTAACCCAAATGCTGTTAAAAGTTGCCTATGAAATGCAAGTATGTTAATTGCAGTTACCCCCGATCAAGCTCTGTTAGCGGCGAGCAGCCATTCGGAGCGCTGTTAACGCTAACATGAGCCTAACAGCAATCACTCTGCTCGAGCCGCAGCCAACAAGAATTGGGTGAGCAGCAGCTCGACTCTCACTGAGTGAGATTCAAGGTCGTTGCGTGACACATTTCTAGCTACGGCGCTTACATTGGCTGCTGCTGCGCCTCAGTTGGGCTCTGCCTGCTCTGTTAGAGCGTCGCGACGCTCCATTGTCCGGATGTGGGTGCGGTTGAGTGAGTTGCATTTTGAGCGGAATGCTGCCGTTTGAGCCTTTTACAATCGAGAGACTCTTGGCTGTGGCTGGGTGGTTGTTGTTGTAGTTGCTGCTCTTTGTTTTCTGTATTTTTCCTTTTTGGTAACTGCTGCTGCGTGGGCTATCCCTGTTGCCATTTTCTTTAGCAGGGGCCTATTTTGTTTTTGGCCTAGTCATTTGTATGTCCTTAAACCTATGCGCACACACACACACTGATGGCTACACGGACACACGCACACTTCTTGGGAGCGGCCGCCCACTCTATCATCAATGTGAATGGCGGCGCGCATGAAAAACATTTTTCATCAACATGAATTTCCCGTTAGACATTTGCTTTGT